GATCTTTCTTGGGCAGCAAACAACATAGAGGAGATAAAGAATAAAATTTTCAAAAAAAACATAAAATAATGTTATTAAGGTTTTAGTCTTTCTGATTAGGATTAAGTGAAGTGATTATCTTAAAAGAAGTACATGATACTATGTGGTGGGGGCTATACAAATATCATGCATCTAAACAAATCAATGTATTTATATATTACATATAACATATATTTATATATTACATGTACTCATTGGATGGAATCCATGGATGCAGAGGTTCATGCTTTACATGAGAATGACACTTGAGATCTTGTGCCTACTCCTCCAGATGCATCCATTGTTGGGAGTCGCTGGGTTTACAACATTAAGCTTAAGTCTGATGGATCTCTTGATCGATACAAGGCACATTTAGTTGCCCAGGGATATAATCAGGAGTATGGTATTGACTATGAAGAAACCTTTGCTCCTATTGCAAAGATCACCACAGTCCGTGTTCTTTTAGCATGTCACCTCAAAAAATCTCTATGTGGTCTACATGAAGCCTCCTCTTGGATACTGCAATGATCCTTCTTTAGTATGTCGCCTCAAAAAATCTCTGTGGTCTAAAACAAGCTCCCTGGGCATGGTTTGAACGCTTTCGCAATGTTGTAGTTGCTGTTGGATATAGCTAGAGTTTTTCTGATCACTCTTTATTTGTTAGGCGACGGCCTCAAGGTATTACCATTCTCCTACTATATGTTGATGACATGTTGACTGGGAATGATGCTGAAGGCATTCATGAATTGAAACTATTACTTCATAATTCCTTTCACACGAAGGACTTGGGCCCTCTCACATATTTCTTGGGACTTGAAGTACATCGTAGTGATCGAGAGTATTTTGTTTGTCAGCAGAAGTATGCCCCTGACCTTGTTAAACTTGTTGCTCTTAATGATGAAAAGCATGTTGATACACCTATGGAGCTAAATTTTAAGCTATCTAAATCTAAAGGTCCATTACTTCCTGATGCCGCCTTATATCGCCAGCTTGTGGGGTCCCTCATTTATCTCACTATGACTCAGCCTGATATTTCTCATGCTGTTCAGGTTGTTAGTCAATTTGTTTCTACTCCTTGTCAGCCTCATATGACTGTTGTTCATCGCATCATTCGATATGTTAGAAGCACAACTTCCCAAGGACTGTTCTCCTCCTCCTCTCCTATTCAGTTGAGAGCATATGCTGATGCGGATTGGGCTGGTTATCCAGACACTCGTAGGTCCACTTCTAGGTGGTGTGTTTTTATGGGTGATTCACTCATCTCTTGGAAGTGTAAGAAACAATAAACAGTCTCCAAGTCTTCCATTGAAGTAGAGTATAGGGCCATGTTTTCAGTTTGTAGTGAGATTTTTTGGTTACAGTCTCTCTTTATGGATCTTGGCATTCAGCTCCCTACTCCTATTCCTCTCTATGCAAACAATATGAGTGCTATCAAGATTGCATCTAACCCTGTCTTCCATGAGAGGACCAAGCACATCGAGGTGGATTGCCACTTTATTCGAGATCTCTTCACTACTGGGTCTATATCACTTCCTCATATAGCCTCAGACATGCAAATTGTTGATATCTTCACCATAGCTATGACTAGAGTTCAACATCTCTTTCTTATAGACAAACTGATGCTTATGTCTAGGCATCAGTTCGAAGGGGGGTGTGGAGACTCTATAACTTGATGTATCTTATTAGTATAGTCCTTGTTATACATTACTTATACTTCTTATTCTTCTTTTCTCTTTCAGCGCATCTGGGCATTCTTGTAATTGTACATATCTTTTAATATATAAGAGACTCTTTGAGGTGGGGGTCATTCATTCTTGACACCTCTAAGATTATTCTTGTTCTTCTCTCTATTCAGACAAGAGTGTTGACATTAAGGATATGCAAAGAAAATATTTAGCTTGTAGAAAAAACTTAATTTTTCTGTAGGCTACTTTTGTTTCTTTCATCGTAGGAGGGGGCAGAAAAGTTTTTAGTTCTGTAAAATCAGTACCATTTTTACAGAAAGGGCATTGTTTTCTGCCCCTTTGACATGGGAACAGCCTTGGCCTTGGGGAAACCTATTTCTAAGGAACCAAATGCTAGAAGTGATAAGGAACACCAGGTAAAAATGTGTTTCTACAGATCCAGATGCTTGAATTTCATGTGACTTTTCATGTTTCAGTGCTTAAAAGTGTCATTAGAAATTAATCATGTTTATCTAATAGTGTTATTCTTACTTTAGACATCTTATATGCTTTTTGTAAATGAGGTAGCTTCATCAATGAAAAATGTTCTTTTCCTTTAATTTTTTAATGATTTTTTTGGTTTATATAATAATATGCATTCTGATCTCCATAATCTGAATTTGTTAGATTCTAATAGTCAAAATTTATATAGGCAACAGCTAACTTAGTTCCTATCAACGCAAAAAGGGTGGCTGTTAAGTTTGATTCTTTCAAAATAGCTAGCGTGGTATGTGATTCTTTCCACTTACAAAGATCTTAATTTCATTTGTATTTCTCTGATGATTTTGGGTTAAGATAGATCAGAATTGCAAATCTTGCATGTTGCAAGAGGGGAATTTAGTTAAATGAGTTCTAGGTAAATGTTGTTTTCCCAAATCATGATGTAAAATAAATATTTTTTTCCATGTTATCAAAATGCCAATGCATCAAAGCTTATAAATCTGGTTTATCATTGGTGGTCAAATGAGTATACTATGGAACTGTCTCCCCTAGCAGGTTTAACCATGCTACTTCAGACTCAGTCTGTCCTTTGGAAGTAGGGCTACAATTTTGGTGGGCTTGGGATGATTATTTGTTAAAATTTGAATGGACCCAATGCTGTGTAATTTCTTCAAGCTGGGTATCCAACTTGTACCCCTATCCATAACAGGAATAAACTGGAAAACATGGAAATTATTTCATCTAATTAGAAAATGCAAACAAAATTTGAATTTCCAAATGAACAAATCTCCCCTCCACCCACACCCGACCCACCCAAAAGAAAGAGAATTCCCTTATTGGAGTAAGATATTATTAGGGCTCACAACAACCACCCATAGGATAAAACCAATAGCAACCAAGAAAATCCAGTAGCAACCAAGAAAATCCAGTAGCAACTAAAATAACAAAATCCAAGCAAAGACAAATAAAAACAAGCACCAACAAAAACAAAAAGGACTTATATCCATGGGAGAGACGAAAACCATTATTCACTGTGTAAGAAAATAAGAAACAATATAGATACCTTGTGGATTGCAACCTAAATCAACCCTTAACCCTTGTACGCCTACTCTCTCTTTCCTCTCAACCCGAAGAACAAAACCAAGAGAAAAAAACCCACTCTCATAGCAAGAGCACTCTCTTTCTCTCAACCTCTCTTTTTTTCTCTCTCCGATAGAAAAAAGGCAAACTTCTTTCTTTTGTCTCTAAACCCTACATAGTACATACAACCCTACATGCAAAAGAAACATTTTATACATACAACCCACTTTAACCTAAGGATTGGCCACAACAACTGGTAGATTAAAAACTAATCCAACAATTGAAAAATAAGACACAACCCCAACAATCTCCACCATGGCTTATTTATCAACCACCTTGGAAATCTATAGTTTATGCCACCACCTATTCACAAATACAACAAGCATTCATTTCCTTTGAAAAGGCACTACCAACTACAAATAACCTGAATCACTTTGTCTTGACTCCACCTGATTCAAACCAAATGGATAATGCAATTGAATATCTGCACATGAGATAACAGTCCTAGTTAATTCTAGATAAGAACTTCGATCCTTCCTCTCTCCCAACATGTGTTAGACAATGGATGTCCTCAGCTCCAACTTGACTAATGTAATCTGATATTTATTATTGAATGAAATAAAAAAAATTGCTATTTCATGTGTATTTTAGTATGTTTTTGTGAATTACCCCTTAAATTAAACATTTATGAGACTTATGTTAGTTTAGAATGTTCTCATCCATTTGATAAACTTGGGTAGTTTATCATGATAAGGATAATACCATTGTATTGCCAAATTGGTAGGACAGTTTGTCTCAGCTGCTAGGGTTAGACCTAAAGCACAATGAGTGGGTGTTTGGTGAAACATTGAATAGGGACCATTCCCAGTTATGCCCTAGACTTAGTGATAAATGGGCAAAACTGGAAAGTTACACTTAACCCTCTAACTTTATAATGATATTACACAAAGTATTGGATTGGATTGCTTTTGATATGCCAACCAATGAGATCCACCAAGGGTCAAATACCTAGGTATGTTGGAGAAGTTTGGAATATCAGTTGAGTGGGTGATCATTGTGGTAGGATCAACCACTTCATCAAACAAAGAGAATATCCTAGTTTACACTCTCTCTGATGGAAACCTAAAACTACTGGTAGTTGATTTCAATTTGGTTTTGAAATTAGTTTGCAAAATGTATTAATATTTATAAATAGTTTATTTTATAAAAAAGTTTTGCAAAATGGTTTTAATCCCAAGATCCATCTGATAAGAGGGTGTGATACTATGTCTTCCTATCAAAGAAGAGGTCCTTCTATGTAGGCAATATACTAATGTTATTCATTGTGAGGTTAAAAGCAAGTGTCTACTTGGGATGAAACCTGATGGGCACTTTTCTCAGATTAGATCATTGGGTTTGGTCTCATAGGATGGCTGAAACCCAAACCCCACTTATATTTAAGTGATAGGCTGGTTCTAAGCCCACTAGGTTGGTTGGCGATTCACTAGGTTAAACTAGTGAATTCAGTCCATGTGTTTTTTTTTTTTTCTTTTGAGAAAAGTAAGGTAAAATTTTGTTGAGAATGTGTATTTGGTTTTAGGGGTATTGTTGTCTTCTTATTTTTTGTATTTGGGTGCCCTTATAGGGACATGGCTGTAATTTCAGATTTAACATATAATGGAATATTCTGGGTGTGAATAGTAACACCCTATTCTCTCCCGTAACTCTTCTCTTTCTTCCTTCCCTCTTCCTACACTCAACAACTTGGTATCAGAGTGGGAAGAAGTCTTGGACTAGGTTCCTCTACCAACTCCCAAACTCACGAAGACCTGCTGACGTCAGACCGTCACCGGATGACGTCAGCAATCCGTACATGAACCGGCAGCAACCCTTGAATCTGATATACTCTGGTTCACCCTGATTTTAGGGTTATTTTGGTATGGCTCTTATCTTCATATAATGTGCCTATGATTTTCCTGGATTTTACAATAAAAAATTACAGAAAAATACTAGTTCGATGTTTGGATTTTTTCTTCCTTGTCTGAGTTCGATTTATGCTTGAAACTTGTTGGTTTTGGTTTATTTGGCATCGCTAAAGGTATGGGAAGTGGTTCCACATCCTTATAACCTCTAATCTTTCTATGGGAAGTCTTTTTTCTTCCCTATATTACCGCCAATTCAGTTTTGGGCCTCCCATTGGATTCCAGCCAAGTGTTTCCCATCTTTTGTGGGTCTTGTGTGTGTTGGTTGGTGGTTGTAGTGCTGTAGAACTGTTAAAAGGCCTACCCAACTCAAATGGATGTGCCTAAGGAGTTACAAACTGCTTCCGGAGTGCTGTTGAGTATTGTCGATGTCTCCAGTGGCATGATAACCACTGTAAAACTTGATGGAACCAACTTCCTCGAGTGGTCTTTATCAGCCAAGCTTACTATCGGAGGTAGGGGTAAGATGGAATTTATTACTGGTAGAGAGGAGAAGCCAAAAGTTGATAACCCCAAACTTGCTAGATGGGAACAGGATAATTCCTTAGTTATGAATTGGTTGGTGTGTTCAATGCAGCCACACATTGCCCGCAACTATATGTTCCTCTCCATTGCCAAGGATATTTGGGATCGTGTTACAACCACGTACTCTCAAGCAAAAAATACAGCCCGAGTCTATCAACTCCGAAGAGAAACTTGTAATATACGTCAGGGAGAGAGGATTGTATCCATGTACTTCTCTTCTTTGCAGTCTCTAGGGGAAGAAAGGGATCATTTGGAGAACTTGGAATGGAAGAACCTTGAGGACGGTGAACAGTATTAGAAGTATATTGAGAAGAATTGAGTCTTTGACTTCTTGGCTGGATTGAATGGTGAGTATGATTTCACTCGACAATACATCTTGAGTGCAAATATTGTTTCCTTTGCTACTGCATACTCCTTAGTGCAGAGAGAGGAGAGTAGAAGGGTTGCTATGATGCAAACCTCAGTGATGAATCATTCTGCCTACATGTCTTCAAGGTCTAAGTCGAGTACAAACAAACAGGGTACTAATGAAAAGCATGAAGATGTGGTATGTGATTACTGCAAGAGGCCGAGACATACGAAGGATAGGTGTTGGAAATTGAATCCACATTTGAAGCCTAACAAGTTTAAAACCGCAAAGAAGGGTAATGTTTATCTTGCTACTGTTGGAGCTGATTGCCCTCCTAATGTACAAACTCTCACACATGATTCCTCCGATATGATGGAGAAGCTCAGGATTTTGTTGACTCAGCTTCAGAAGTCTGGGCTCTCTACCTCTACTAGTTCTAGTAATCCTTCCAGTGCTTTTGCAAAAACAGGTACTGCACTTACTTGTCAATCTTCTCCTACTAGCTCCTGGATTGTGGACTTTGAAGCTATTGCACATATGACTAGTATGTCTTCCCACTTCACCACTTATAAATTGGCTCCGGGGGAAGGAAAAATCACTATAGCTGATGGATCTCAGACCCCTATCTCTAGTCTGGGGGAGGTTAAGCTTACTTGTGATCTTTCCCTAAGCTCTGTCCTCCATGTCCCCCGCTTGTACAAGAATCTTTTATCTGTTAGTACTCTTACCAAATCTCATAACTGTCCAGCGACTTTTTTCCCTTCTCATTGTGTTTTTCAGGACTTGAGAACGGGGAGGAAGATTGGAACTAGACATGAAGCTGATGGAGTTTACCTTTTTTATCAAACCTTTGAGCAAGGATTACTGTGCTAGATTGAGTCATGTCATGATGAAAATTTGAGTTTTTTGAAGTTGTGGAATTGTCGCCTCAGATATGTTTCTTTTAAGTCCACTAAATTTTTGTTTCCAAACTTATGTCAGTCTAAGTCTAGTTTGGGTATACAATGTAGAACTATATATCCTACAAGTAATAGAAGGAGTGGTGTTGCTTTCAACTTGATACACACTGATGTTTAGGGCCCATACTCTATTCCATGTGTGGGCGGCTATAAATATTTTATATTATTCATTGATGATTACTCTAGATATACTTGGCTTTACCTGATGAAGAGTAGAGATGAGGTCCCTTCCATTGTTCAAAACTTCTTCAAGATGGTGGAAACACAATTCGAAAGGCACATCAAGATATACGGTCTGACAATGCTAAGGAGTATTTTGAAAAGCATCATATTCCACAACAGAATGGTGTAGCAGAGAGAAAAAACAGACATGTTGTTGAGGTGGCGAGAGGCATTTTCTTCCATATGAATG